TAATCATGGGAATAACAAAGAGAAAAATGTGTAATTTTTTAGTTATTCGCAAATAAAGTTTCTTTTCTTTCATAACTTGTTTGCCTGAATTTTCGGGGTGATTGCACTACTTTGCCCGCCTGAAGGAGACGGAAGCCTTCGAAATTGGTGGCTCAATCTTGAGATTTGGAGAAGAATTAACGATGATATGGCTTGCCGATCAAAAACAACATCGATAAATAATATAAACTCCTCCTGCCTCGATCATAGAGACCTCAAGTCGACGAAATGAGACATGTAGCCAATGACAGCACTACAATTAACGTCAGGTTGTGTGGATGCGAACCCCATGCGTTGCGTTATCTCGAAAATAGTACGTGTTTGGGCTGAAAAACGAAGGATCCGATAGTTCCGGACGAACTATCCGGGTCTTGCTGTATGCAATGAAAATCTACAAGGTCCAATTTGTCCCGCATCGATCTACAGACCTACCACTGTTCTAGTATTGAAGCCTAGCAAAATGTTTGTATCGACTTTATTTATTTTAGAAAGAAAAGCAAAAGTGGAGAATACGATTCGCTAACCCCCCGTGAAATTCTGAATCCAACAGTATCCCATTCATGGTATTTCAGCATGACAGGAGCTTATATTTGGTACAAAACCGATTTCGAGCCTTACTGTAATAATATATGTGGGGATTGATCCTGGAGACTTCCTTAAAGCTACTGTGGGAAAGTAGTTGTAATAAGATTAAACATACTGTCATTGGTAAAAATCCTGATCAACTATGAACATATAAAGCAGTTTAAAATTACCTAATAAAACATGTTTGGTGGGTTTTTATTTTCATTACTGTGCTCGCAACTCTAAGCAATTTCCGATATATTAGTTTTACCTCGCCTTAAATGTCCCGTTAACTATGACCGAAACATTAGAAAAAAATTGATTATCTGGCAATCGCCATAGTATATTAACATTAAATAATATATAGTATTATTTTAAGCTAAAAGATTTTGCACGCTTTGTAATCTAAATGAATCAGAGGATGAATTCCGATTTATACTCTATTCCGCCATCACTACATTGCTTCATTCCGTCAATATGACCAGATCGAATTTAATGAAATTATTAAAAATTGATACTGGAGACTTCCATAAGAAACTGTTTTATTACACCAAGCAATGTTGTAGATTGAGGTCATTTATTGTCAATTAATAATGACAGCACCAATCTGTCTCAAAAAATGTATCCAAATCTTGTGCTAGTATATGTTTTATTTTAATGATGTTTATATTTACTATCTATGCAATGCAGATATCATTGTTGTTCAATGTATACCATATTTCATTTTTTTATGTTATATATTGCTAATTTTTATACATATAATGTTTCACTGCATTATTCTAGTGTTATATTATCCATTATTTTATATAGGGTATTATTGTTTATGCTAAGGCATGCAGATCTTTGGTGGTTGTTTATTTGTTTAGAGGTAATGTTGTCTTTATAACACATTAAATTGTTTACATTAGTTGTTTATGCTGTTTGATGTTAATCTATTATTGTAGCCAATTCAGTTTGTTTTGAGCATTCCCCGAAAACAGATAAAATATATAATAATCCATATTTTCTCATTATCGCATTATGATAACAATTTGGAGTATGGGGAAACTGATGAGCGGAAAATGCGAACGAAGGCCGCTCGATAGTCTTATCCTAATCCGGGATTTGGCTAAAGCATGCGTAGGAAGGCGGGGAAGATGGCGACCCTCCCTCCACTTTTCACCCCCACCTAATTACTCCAATCCTCCACCGACCCCCCTCACCCCTCCCCCACCTCAAATAACTACGCTTCATTCACTCACTTAAACCTTTAATGAATATCCCTTTATATTTACAACTTCCTGAGCGGGTGCTAAACGCGCTCGTGTTAAGAACCGAGCAATCTCTGCGGAATATCCGATTTAATAGAATGCCCCCCGCTCAAATTGAAAATTTAATTCATTAACACTCACGCCTAAGTGGAGATTATTCAAAATCTGACAAAATATTGTTTTCTTTACAGATTCACAAATTCTTGAAACAGATATTTGCTTAAGGAATAAGCCATACATTATTTTTGTGTAGGTACCCCTTCTTTATTTTGAAAAGGAAGACTCTATCTAGGACAAACTCTTGAAAAATTATAACCTTCATACATAGGACAATGTATGAATTTCTAATACATAATTAAGTTCGCATATAATGAATCAAGAAAAGACGCAGTAGCTTTATTCATAACCCTTAGAGGAAACGACTGTTTGCGGGCTCATTTGAACAAATAATAATAATAATAATAATAATGATAATAATGCTTTATTTATTCTGGGACGAGTCCCTTTAGAATAATACAAAGAGACAAGAATGTGGGCTAAGGAGCCTCAGAGATACATAAAGAAGAATATAGTTTAATTAAATAGTCAAAAAAAAAAATAGATAAATGAAAAAAAATAATAAGAGAAATTATAAGTTACTTTCTAATTTACATCAGTTAATAATAAAAAGTAAAAAATTGAAAATAAACATGAAGTAAAAAAAAAAAAAGAACGATCTAATAATTTATATACATATTTACAGTAGTAACTAAGATATAAATAGGATAAGTAAATAGGAATAAAGATTGAAGAAACGTGCGTAATCTGCAACGATTGAGACCACTTGGATGCCTTAGATTATATAAGAAGGAAAAGCATGAATAAAAATATTTCTAGAAAGAGGTCTAAACTTTACGAGGCTGCTCGAAGTCTCAAGACCAATAAAATATTAAATAAAATATAAAATGTTAGATAAAAACAAAACTTCGTCGATTCTGCATGCTCACGGGTTTCCAATTTACTTTAAAATGTCACTTTCACACGATTTCGATCAGTCCTGTTTAGGAAAAATTGAGTTTAAGCAGATTATAAAAATAGTACAGTATAAAATTAATTTCCCAATCATTTCATAACTCCTCAATGACACAAGGGAACTATTACGCCATGAATAAAATATTAGGAAATGTCCCAGAAATCGGTCTTTCATATTAGCTTCTTCATGTTACCGAAACGAGGGAAGTTTGACTTTCCTGCAGGAAGTGAACTACTTTAGTTTAAGACAACGAAGAAATTGAGTTTCTTGTGTGTTGACAGTAAAATTTGTAAATCGATAGTAATATGAGGCTTAATTCTTGTTAATCTGATTTTTATATTTTGTCATTTCATATGAGTTCAGAAATTTTAAATGTTGATAACTAGAAAATTCCATATCAGTGCACAAAGGCATCTATTTCCCTCGGCAAACACACACACACACACACACACACACACCCACATACATACACATATATATATATTTCTTTTTGTGTGTGTGTGTAATTTTAATTAAAACATTGAGTTTCTTTTTCCTAACACATTTCTTGTTGTTTTTTTTTTCTTTCGTCCCCAATGATGTAGAAGCTGTACTAACCTACTTTTTAATTTACATGAAAGTAAGTGGAAGCTCCTAAACTCAGTGCTGAGCTCATCAATGCCATCGTACCGGCAAGATTAGAGAGGGATCCAGTTTCTCTGATCCAGGATCTCTGAGTATAATGATCTGCCCTATGGACCTCTATTTATAACAATTTTTCGTTACCGCAACTGGCAATCATTGATATAACTCACTATATCAGGACAGTACACATACCTGAAACAAGCTAAAATAACAAAAAGAAAAAAATTACAAAAAAAAATCGTATAAAAAACTAATAATGACAAACAGAAAGTCTAATAAGTCAAAGTTCGGTACGTGCACCCGATCTATAATCATTTTTTGATTACCTCATAACGAAAACTATTTTATACAGTTTTGTAATGTTTAAAAATAATAGATACACGAGTGCCATCTCAACATCGATTGTATAAATAAAACTATGGCTCCAACAAATAAATGATTGAAGATCTCTATTGAGTTTAGCAATAATTGACACAGCGCGCGATCCCATGTGGTCGTATATAAAATATTTATTTTATTTTTTTACACGCATAAATAATTAAACACTATGATTATTTAAAGACACGTTTTTTTCTTATTTAACGAATTGCCTTCCGACACGTATAATGGGACAACTGAAAAGTAATAGTTTTATAAACAATTCAATTAAAACGTTTGTAAATTTGAATTGTCGGTAAATTTACGACAAGAGTTTTTTTCAGGTAC